CAGAGTTTTTCCAAACAGGAGCGATGGGATGCGCAGAGAAGCAACAGCAGAGGTGAACACGAACATAGTGCTCTCATAGTACCCATGAGTAAGCAGCACTCTCCCAGTTGACAAATTATTTGCTTCAGAAAGATGAGGGAGGATGGTGACAATTTAAACAAGGTTCTACCCATGAGTCTCTAAAAGCCAATTGATGATTGCTAGAAACAACCAGCCCCTGCAAATCTGTATGTTGTGAATAACTGACCCTGGTTTCATTTTAGCATCTTATTTCTTTTCAGTTTAATTTTTATTTATTTATATGTTATCTCTAAATATGCACACAATGGTCATACTTTTGTTTAGATTATTGACTCTCTTTAGTCCTAAAATTACTTTTTTGACTTAGAGACACTTTTGCCCCATATTATCCATGCTATGATATCCTTTCGTTGTTGTTGATGCCAATATTTGGAGGCTGTTATCATTTCGTAATTTTTTTTCCTGATTGTATATACCTTCAATAAAGCTAAATACTGCAAACACAACTTTCCCACCACCCTTTGACCTCCTATACCCCTTTGATCCTGTCTCCCTCTCCCATCCCTCTTAACCTCAGAAGCCTTACTTCCTTTATGTGTCTACTAGTATTTATTAGCATTTTGCTTTGTCAAATCATCTGCTCTGCAAATATCCAATATATGCTCTATAATTTTGACTTGCTTTATTATATATAATTCCCTCAAACAACATTTTCTTTCCTTATGACTGAATATTTTCTTTCCTCATGGCTGAACAATATTCCACTGTCTTGTTAATTCAGTCCCTTTTGTGAGCACTTAGGTTGTTTTTATGTCCTAGTTATTACAAATAATGTTGCAGTATACACTGTAACACATACAATTTTTGGAGCTGATGACTTCATATTCTTTGGATAAATGTCCAAGAGTGGTACTGCTGGGTCATACAGTATTTCTATTTTTATTACTTGAACATAAATCCAGATCACTTTCCAAAATGGCTGTAATAGTTTACATTCCCACCAACAGTGTAGTATGATTCCTCTTTATCCACATCCTCTCCAGAACATAAAATATTTTTATGACAGGAAAGATACTAGACTAGCTAGAAGTAGGGCTCATGCACAAAAACTGTGACGATGTAGATTACTCTCTGTGATATTGTGACTCATAAGAAAATACATATGTGGTCATTCATAGCACCAAAATATATTTCTCATATATATGTAATCTTTGTCCCTGCTTCCTGGCTCCCAAACCCTCCGAAATTCCTAAGTGTAGGAAGTGATAAGTCTCTTTTGTTATGTTAATGAGGCGGCTTTTGGAAAGCACTAAGGACAGGGGCTGGTTGCCAGTGGAGCCAACCATGTGATTAGAGGATTGGAACTTTCAGTTCCATCGCCCTTGATCTCCAGGGAGAGAGAACAGGCTAGAAGGGAGATCAGTCGCCAATGATCTGATCAACCGTGCCTATGTAATGAGGTCTTCATAAAAACTCAAAAGAACTGGGTTCAGACAGCTTAGGGGATGGTGAGCAGCAGAGGAGCTGGAGAGCACATGGAAGCTGCGCCCTGTCCTGCGCTCTGCCCTGTTACCCCTGCCATCTGGATGTTTGTACCCTGAGTGATAGCCTTTTCTAATAAAACAGTAATCTAGTAACTGAACTGGTTTCCTGAGTTCTGTCAGTCATTCCAGCAAATTAATGGAACCCGAGGAGGGGGTCCTGGAAACCTCTGATTCATAACCAGTCAAAGGTGACAGGCTGGGCTTGTGACTGGCATCTGAAGTGCAGGGTGTTCTTGGGAGATTGAGCCCTTCATCTGTGGAATCAGATGCTCTCTCCAGGTAGACCATCAGAACTGAGCTGAGTTGCTTTTTTTTTTTTTTTAATTTTTTTTTTTTAATAGAGGCATGTTTTATTTATTTATTTATTTGTTTGTTTGTTTATACATGCACTGGGTACAGTCAGAAGCGCGGGAGGGTGAGAGAATTCACCAGAGCCAGAGCGGGAGCAGAGCAGGCAGAAGGACCGAAGTACACTGCTGAGAGGAGCAGCGGGCGGCAGGAGAGGTCTGCGCGCCATGTGGGACCCTCCTCTGGTGGCCGGGGAGCAGCCGGGGATCGAACCGGCGCCGCAGAGGCCGCGGGCAGCTTCGCAACCCAGCGCTCAACCGCTGCGCCACCAGGGAGGCCCCCCTGAGTTGCTTTTTGGTGTGGAGAAGCCTCCACACACACCCTCTTTGGAACTGTGTCCAGGAACCCAATCAGTCCCCCTTCAGGGGACCACGAATGGCAGACTGAAGTCTGGTATTGTGGGTAATTCACAGCCTTTACTGAAAACATTCAAATAAAAAGAGAAACAAAGATGAAGTGATGTTTCATAAGAATGTATTTATTTGGTGGCCATGGTTAGCTTGAACTGGAGTAGGTAATTAAGAAAGCCAGTTAGAAAAATAATGCAAGAGGTTTAGTTATTGGTAATAAGAGTTACCACTAGCGTGTTGGCAACTGCAATGAAGACAAGGCAGAGGGGAAGCCAGGGTAGGAAGAAAGAACTGTCAGTGTTTACAAGACCCCTTATTGTATCGGGAGTGGTGAATCCTGTGAGAGTCTGATGTGCACTACAGTCCTATGCAAGGGAACCCACATGGCCTTGCCCTTTTTGATGTGCTTCATATGACCAGCTTCTCAGAAGAGACTTATGCGCATCTTTAATTAATGCTGTCTCCTTTAAATTCTCCTTCCTCTCTCCATTCCCTCTTCCCAATTGGCTCAATGTCAAAAATCTGGAGAGAGGCTTCACTATGATGACCACACCACAAAGCCATGCCCTCTCTTTCATTCTAAACTCTTCCTTCTCTTTCATCTTTTGAGTTAATTTCATTAAACACACATTTGTCAAGATACCTAACCTCCATGGTGATAACAAGGCAACATTACAAACAAAAGAAAAACTGTCCTTTGTTTATTAGCTTAAACACGTCTTAGTTTCCATCAGGTTACCTAAAAGATTAAGTCATTAATCTTCAGTCTCTCAAAATAAGCCTGCAAATAGCTCAACCCTCCTTCCAAGATGAATATATAGTGCAGTCCTCATCCTAATTGCTCTAATTACACGAAGAACATAATGAGATATAGCAGCAGATGGCTAGTGATTGAATCTGACACAGAAGAAATTCTCTCTCCTCTTATTGAGGAAACTTTGAAAAAGAAAAACTAAGTTATTTTGCTCACAAAGCCAAATGTATGTCTTGTAAAATCTATCCCACTTTTCTGTTTTCTTCCGTACTGCCTTCCCTTAAAAAAAATTCATTTCAAGTAGGTTTCTTCTGTGACCACTTTCAGAATAGATAAATGTGTTCCTCTGCTGAACAAAACATGTACTCATAGAAAGATATCTGTCAAGAGTTCATATAATAAATCACATATGTCCACAACTTCTTCTACAATCTCACAGATATACTCTATCAAATATAGAATAGGGGGGAGGGGAGAGTAGAGTGTCTTTCACTTGGGCCTAACAACAACAAAGTCTCTATCCAAACTATCGTTGGTCCCAGTTTTTCACAAGAGATGGACTATCACTACTTCAAACTAAATATCCAAAAATTCAGTCAGTATCTCCCCCTTTAAATTAAGTCATTTTTGTATAAATAAATAAATAAATCTTAAAAAAAAAAAAAAAAAGGTCCTCCCCTGGTGGCGCAGCGGTTGAGCTCTGGGCTGCGAAGCTGCCTGCAGCCTCTGCAGCGCCGGTTCGATCCTTGGCTGCCGGGCGAGGGTCCCACATGGCGCGCAGACCTCTCCTGCCGCCCGCTGCTCCCCTCAGCAGTGTGCTTTGGTCCTTCTGCCTGCTCTGCTCCCCGCTCTGGCTCTGGTGAAATCTCTCACCCTCCCGCGCTTCTGACTATACCCAGTGCTTGTGTAAATAAATAAATAAATCTTTAAAAAATAAAAATAAAATAAAATAAGTCATTTTCCCAACTTCTTTTCTCTGATGAATGGTAACAAGTTCATATCTTGGAGCTATCTTTTCAGACTCCTCTCATGTTACTGTCTGTACCAGCAAGCAGTATCTTGTATACAGGAAGTTCCTGAGTCAAAATCCTCAAAATCACCATCCCCACCACTCAAGTACCTGGGGGCTCTCCTCATCTCCCTTTATCACTGCTGCCAGAATCTGGGGTTCCATGCCAGTCCCTGTGCCACCACAGAAACTGAGTGCAAGGTTGGAAAACAAAAGTCCAGGGAGTTGTGAAACTGGAGACAGAATTAAACTTATCCTTCCAGTCTGAAGATAGAGGATGTTCTGAAAACTGAACATTGGGAACACCTCTTCTCCAAAGTTTCTTGATCTCTAAAATCAGTTCTACCTAGATTATTAATGGGTCTCAAAGTTCCTCCTGCCTTGGTACTCTTGAATAGATCAGGAGATACAAAAGTTCTAGAAGAACACATACTTCTATTATTTTCTACAATGTAACATTCCAATGTAGGAAAAAAAGTTACTGAATTTAATCAGTTGTTCTGATGTAGCATCGCAGAGCCCCTGATTGTTAAAAGAAATTTTACAGAACATTTATTTTCATGCACCAATTTTCTCAAAAATTTGGGTAACATGAAGTAAATATATGTGATCACTGATTCAGTAATGGTACGGTTCCAACAATTTTTCTCATATCAGTTCCCATTAATATATGAAGTTAGTCTGCTTAGACCTCTATCTAGTCTAGGTAAGTAACCTTAATATTTGTATTTTTCTTACATTTTATTCTGGTATTTCTTTGCCTGTCTTTACGAAGACTCAATCTGAGAAATACATGAAGAATTAAAAAGAGAAAAATGATACAGAAAACATTTTGAAAAATCCTATTTGCTTGTGTCAAGTGTTTCAAAGATATTTGAAAACTTGTTTTCTAAGAATTAAATGCATTTTCCACTTACAGGGCATGTGAAGGAAACAGACTATCAGGACCATTTGACTCTGATTAGGAGTGCAACATGCTTCATCCTCAGTTTCCATGTAATGCCCTCCTTTTGTCAAAAACCAAACTGGAACTCTTAGTCATCTCTTCATACCATTTGATAAAACTTGCTCCCCAATGCAGGATCTGAAAAACTCACTAATAAAATTACCAATTACCAGAATATATCTGTTTGAAGTTAACAAGATAAAAGAAGCTTTAAAACGAATACTTCTCCACTATAGGATATAGGGAAAAAAAAAAGAAAGACAAAGAATTTTAGTACCCAACCCTGAATTTACATGAAAGTCCTCTCAAAAAGAAAAACCAACTTATCTGTCTTTAACCCTGCTTTTGTTTCCTCAATAAAATCACCCTCCTGACACCAATTTCCTAAATGTATGGGATGCAGCAAAAGCAGTAAGAGGAAAATATATAGCAATAGAGGCTCACATCAAGATACAAGAAAGAACTCAAAGAAACAACCTAATCTCAAAGCTCAAAGAACTAGAAAAAGAACAACCAAAAAAACCCAAAACCAGTAGAAGAAAAGAAATAATAAAAACCAAAGCAGAAATAAATGAAATCGAAACTAAAAAAAAACAATCCAAAAGATCAATGAAACCAAGAGCTGGTTCTTCGAAAAAATAAATAAAATAGACAAACCCCTAGCCAGGCTCACAAAAGAAAAAAGGGAGAAAGCACAAGTAAACAGGATCACAAATGAAAGAGGAGAAATCACAATGGACACAGCAGAAATCAAAAGAATAATCAGAAACTACTATGAACAGTTATATGGAAACAAGTTCAACAATTTAGAGGAGATGGACAAATTCCTACAACTCTACAATCACCCAAAGCTAGATAAAGAAGAAATAGAACACCTAAACAGACCAATTACAAGCAGCGAAATTGAAATGGTAATAGAAAACCTTCCCAAAAACAAAAGCCCAGGACCTGATGCATTTACAAATTAATTCTACCAAACATTCAGAAACTAATTAGTGCCTATCCTTCAAACTCTTCCAAAAAATTGAGAAGGAAGGGATAATACCAAAACGTTCTATGAAGCCAACATTCCACTAATACCAAAACCGAACAAGGACAACACAAAAAAAGAAAACTACAGGCCAATCTCGCTAATGAACACTGATTCAAAAATCCTCAATAAAATTTTAGCTATCAGAATCCAACAGTGTATCTATAAGATAATTCACCACAACCAAGTAGGATTCATTCCAGGGATACAAGGATGATTCAACATCCGAAAATCAATCAACGTTATCTAACACATCAACAAAAAGAAATATAAAAACCATATGATAATATCAATAGATGCCGAGAAAGCTTTCGACAAAGTGCAACACCCATTTATGATAAAAGCCCTTGAAATTCTTGGGATACAAGGAACTTACCTCAACATCATAAAGGCCATATATGACAAGCCAACAGCCAGCATCATTCTCAATGGTGAAAAGCTGAAAGCATTTCCATTGAGATCTGGAACAAGACAAGGATGTCCACTCTCACCACTGCTTTTCAATATAATACTGGAAGTCCTAGCCAGAGCAATAAGACAAGAGAAAGACATACAAGGAATCCAAATAGGAAAAGAAGAAGTCAACCTATCACTATTTGCAGATGATATGATAATATATGATAATAGAGAACCCAAAAAACTCCACAGAAAAACTAATAAAACTCATCAATCAGTTCAGTAAAGTGGCAGGATACAAAATCAACACACAAAAGTCAGTAGCCTTCCTATACACAAACAATAAATCTGAAGAAGAAGAAATCAAATAAACCATCCCTTTTATTATTGAAACAAAAAAAATCAAATACTTGGGAATAAATCTAACAAAAGAGATAAAGGACCTATACAAAGAAAACTATAAAACACTGTTAGGGCCTCCCTGGTGGCGCAGTGGTTGAGCGCTGGGTTGCAAAGCTGCCCGCAGCCTCTGCAGCACCGGTTCAATCCCAGGCTGCTCCCCGGCCACCAGAGGAGGGTCCCACATGGTGCGCAGACCTCTCCTGCCGCCCGCTGCTCCCCTCAGCAGTGTACGTGGGTCCTTCTGCCTGCTCTGCTCCCCGCTCTGGCTCTGGCTCTGGCTCTCACCCTCCTGCGCTTCTGACTATACCCAGTGCTTGTATGTATCAATCAATAAAAGTCTTTAAAAAAAAAAAAAAAAACACTGTTAAAAGAAATAGAAGACTCGGCGGGCCGCGGCCTGCAGCCTTCGCGCCTCCTGGACGCCCGCCGCGCCGTGCTGGCCGCGGCCCTGGGGGCTGCGCGCGGGCGCCGTCCGGACGCTGCGCACCGGCGCCGCTCAGCTCTCGGTGCGTAAATTCACAGACAAACATGAATGGATAACAACAGAAAATGGTATTGGAACAGTGGGAATCAGCAATTTTGCAGAGGAAGCTTTGGGAGATGTTGTTTACTGTAGTCTGCCTGAAGTTGGGACAAAATTGAACAAACAAGAGGAGTTTGGTGCTTTGGAAAGTGTGAAAGCTGCTAGTGAACTCTATTCTCCTCTGTCCGGAGAAGTAACTGAAATTAATGAAGCTCTTGCAGAAAATCCAGGACTTGTGAATAAATCATGTTATGAAGATGGTTGGCTGATCAAGATGACACTAAGTAACCCTTCAGAACTAGATGAACTAATGAGTGAAGAAGCATATGAGAAATACGTAAGATCTATTGAGGAGTGAAAATGGAACCCCCTAAATAAACTAGTATAAACCAACTTAATCTAGCATAGTTGTCTTAAATTAGTGGATAGATGATTTAAAATAGCAACTTTTAGTAATACCACTGGAAAAATAAACTACTTGCAACAATGGAAAAAAAAAAAAAAAAAAAAAAAGAAATAGAAGACTCAAAGAAATGGAAAGACATCCCCTGCTCATGGATTGGAAGAATAAACATTATTAAAATGGCCATCCTACCAAAAGCAATATACAGATTCAATGCTATTCCAATCAAAATTTCAATGTCATTCTTCAAAGAAATAGAACAATTATTGATGAAATTCATATGGAATCACCAAAAACCCCATATAGCCAAAGCTCTCCTGAAAAAAAGAAAAGAAGGGACTGGAGGCATCACACTCCCAGACTTCAAACTATACTACAAAGCCATAATCATCAAAACTGCATGGTATTGGAACAGGAACAGACACACAGACCAATAGAATAGAATAGAAAATCCAGAAACAAACCCACAGATGTATGGTCAACTAATCTTTGACAAAGAAGCAAAGAATATGCACTGGAGCAAACAAAGTTTGTTTAATAAATGGTGCTGGGAAAACTGGGTCGCTATATGCAAAAGAATGAAGCTCGACTACTACCTAACACCATGCACAAAAAGCAACTCAAAATGGATTAAAGAACTAGACATAAGACCTGAAACCATAAAATACATAGAAGGAAATATAGGTGAAACACTACATGATATGCACCTCAAAGACATCTTTACAGACATATCACCCAAAGCAGTGATAGTGAAGGCAAAGATCAACAGCTGGGACGACATCAAATTAAAGAGCTTCTGCACAGCAAAAGAGACAATAACAAAAACAAAGAGAAACCCCATTGACTGGGAGAACATTTTTGCACACAACACTAATGATAAAGGACTGATCACAAAAATCTACAAAGAGCTGATAAAACTCAACAAAAACAAAGAAAATAAGCCAGTCAAAAAATGGGCAGAAGAGCTAAAAAGAAACTTCTCTGAAGAGGAAATGCAAATTGCCAACAGGCATATGAAAAAATGTTCAACATCACTTGTCATCAGGGAAATGCAAATCAAAACTACCATGAGATACCATCTTACACCAGTAAGAATGGCACATATTAAAAAAACTAGCAACAACAAATGTTGTGAAGGATGTGGAGAAAAAGGAACTCTTCTGCACTGTTGGTGGGAGTGCAAACTGGTCCAACCACTATGGAGAGCTGTGTGGAGATTTCTTGACCTACTAAACATAGAGCTTCCATATGATCCAGCAATTCCACTCCTAGGTATTTACCCAAAGGACACAGAAACATCAATTCCAAAGAGCACCTGCACCCCTCTGTTTATAGCAGCACTATTTACAATAGCTAAGCTTTGGAAACAACCCAAATGCCCAAAAAAAGATGACTGGATCAAGAAGATATGGTAAATATACACCATGGAATTACTCAGCATTCAAAAAAGATAAACACATGCAATTTGCAGCAACATGGATGGCGCTGGAAGGGATCATGCTCAGCAAAATAAGCCAGAAAGAAAAAGAAAAATACCGGATGGTCTCACTCATAGCAGGAATCTAGAAAACTTAAATAAGGGACCAGGAAAAAGAAAAACAATAGGAAAGAAAATATCAAAATCAACAAACAACTATGAACCAGAGACACTCTATGGGAGGTGGGGGGGGCGGGGAATGGAGGGCTTGGGGTCAAAATAAGGGGGTTGTAATTGTATGGGGAATATAAAAATAAAATTTAAAGAGAAAATAAGAAAATAAAAATTAAAGTGAATGTATAACTTATAAGAATAACGTGTTTCTGAGCTTTAAAAATTCAAAAAAATTAAATAAATAAAATCACCCTCCTTCGTAACATTTTCATTCAAAGACCTCTATTAAAAATAACCTCTCAACAGTTTCTTTCATTTGTGATTCAACTAATAATAAGAGCCATATTATATTAATCCACAAAGGTTAGATTATGCTGCAGTAGCAAATTAACAATCAGATCTCAGCATCTTTACACAAAGTTTATTTCTCGCACACACAGAATCCTCTATGGATCAAGAAGCTCTCTTCCAAATGGGTTGATTCAGGAACATGCTAGTAGCCACAATTCACAAAGCAAAGGATGCTGGCTTATAAATGACACCTATCAGCTCCTCTTTTAGTCTAAAGGTTAAGATATGTGCATGGCCCCAACCTAACTGCAAACAAGGCAGGAAAATGCAGCCTTAGACCAACTCTAAAGAGGAAGAAAAACAGAACTAGGTGAACTTGCAACACTGACTCTGTCACAATGAGGTGCTTACTATCTACTTAATGAATTACCATGTATCAGGAAGACCATGTATAGCCCCCATAAGACAGGCATTATAATAATGATAATAATAATATCATCATCATCATCATCATCATCATCATCATCATCATAGCCCCATTCTACAAGTGAGGAGACTGAGGTCCAGAGTAATTAAGTCATTTACCTACACTACTGAGTGGTCTCCCTGGAACACAAATCCAAGCAATGGGCCACACAATACTGTGCCATGCTGCTTCTCAACTATGTGAGATCAGGGCAGCTTATTTCACAGTAAGCACAGTTAAGAATACTGGTTTTCTGATATTTGTAGGGCTAGCCCTTAAAAGATGGACAGATATATTCTCTAAGTCTTCAGAGGCAGTTTTAAGAAAAATTTAAGTGAAAGAGTATTTTTGAGCATCTCCAAGAAGCCAGGCACCACTCCGGAAGCTGCATATGCAGCTCCTCTAAGCTTCAAAACACCCCCACAAGATGGGCATTGTTATGCCAGTTGTACAAATGAGGAAAACAAACAAGGCTATTGCACAAAGCCAGGATTTAAATCCAAATCAATCTGGCTTCCATTGCCAAGCAATTTCCATTGGCTCTCACTGCCTTTCAATATAGAATAAATTAAATGCAAATCTACAAATTATTACATGGGTAAGATGTGTAACTTTAATTCTTTTATTTTTTTCTGTAATTAAACTTAATATCATCAGTTGTGCACCCCTATTTAGGTGAGATACAGAAACTTAATTCTTGCATTTTTGCTCTGAGATCTTAGGGAGCAGTCCACTCTCCTCTACAACTCATCACACATCCACAGAGTTTCTTTCATGCACCATTTCTAGGCTCTCCTCTGTCTCTAGTTGACCCTCCTTCCTGAACTAAAAATCTAAAAATCTTTTATCCTGACTTTTCCAAATTTAGTTTTATAGTCACACTGAGAGTTTGTACATTGGTAAAATTCAAAACACAAGACACTTGCCTCTTGTCTGCATTGTACTGAGGTGTCTCTGTCCTTCCCAGATAAACAGAAAAAGTAAAACTGTCAGAGGGCAGCAGGAAATAGCAGGAACAGAGAGCACATTGGTTAATATGTCACAATATCATCTGTTACATAAAGAAGGTCTTTTGACAATTAAAACTGCTGAAATTAAAAGGGATTATAGGAGACTGTGAGCTTCCCAGTACAAGAAGTATTTAAGGTAAGGGTGGTTGTTCCTGGAGCTAAAGCAACAGAGGTTTAATAGGTATATCTAGAAGGGGGAAGGGGGATTAGAAATAGAATATTTTTTACCTTATTAGATAGAAAGAGAAAAAATGTAGAAAGGAATTTGGGGGCAGGAGTGGGGAAGCAGAAAAACAGACAAATCTATAATTCCAAGGAAGTGAGGACAGAGGGCTGACTCTCTAAATATAATCAAATGGAAGAGGATAGGAAGGGACAGTAACCTTAAGCCTCAATACTGACCAGAGGATAATTTAGGAAAATATGTATAGACCACAAAGAAATATAATGAGAAATCCAAGAATATGATTTCCTGAGACTCTCTGAAATAAGATGAAGCCTGTCTTTCCTTGCTGGAAAGGGGAGGAACTGGTAAGGGGAAGAGATAAAAGTGTGGAAGGTTATCCAAAAAATTCCAAGTGACAAGAGCTCTGTCACTGAATGCTGCCCCTCAGTGACACTTGGATTCCGCTGTAAAATGGCAGCGCCTCCGGGAGAGAGGAGGCAGGGCCACCAAGTGAGAGGACAGGAAGTCACTATTGCTGAGATTTTTACATCGATCCCTTCTACAGCCTAGAAGCCCTGATTTTCCTCCAAATTTTCTCAAAATTTTTGGCTTAGCATTAATAAAAGATGATGATGATGATGATGATGATGATGATGATGATGATGATGATGATGATGATGATGATGATGAATATTGATGATGATGATGATGATGATGAGATGATGATAAAATTACTTTGAAGCACTCCCAGAGGCATCAGAAGATATATTGAGCTACACTAAACTGCAGCCTGGAGTTACATAAAGTATCACATTAAAATTTAAAACCTTTCAAAATTCAATCTTATTTAACTTCAAAGCAATATTTCAAACCAAACCAAAAGGTGCAATGGAAATTGAGAGAGAAAAGGGAGATAACAATATTCTCTCATCTTAAGGGAATGGAGGTGGGGGGGGAGTCTACACTTTAATGACAACTTCATTAATGATATATTACACATTTCTGCCCCTTTGTCACAATGCAAGGACAAAGGGGCCATTTTACTTGTTGTTCCTGTATTACTAGCATCCATTAAGATGAAGGTAAAAAGCCACATTTCTGGCTCTGCCCTCCCTTAAGCACTTGACCAATACATTGAATTGGGTGCTGATTTTTCTTCCCCTTGGATTACATTCTACAGGCAGAACAAATTCAATTTGTCCAAAACTAAATTCATCATCTTTCCTCAAAATCTAATCTTCTAAAATCATTTCCAAGACAAGGACCTGGGAGATTCACCCTGGACACTTGTCATCCTTCAAAAAGGTTACAGATGTTACCTCCTAAACTACGCTCAGATGGTCTCCTTCTCCTTAAACCTCTGCCACTTACTCTTACTCTTTCAGTTTAGACCCTCATCATCTCTCTTCTGAGCCCCCAGCCACAGCTTCTTAACTTATCACACATACCCCGACCTCGCACTCCTCATCTTGTCTCCCTCCAACACGTTCTATGCCAGGGCCCAAGAGGGATTTTCTAAAATGCCCATCCGATCATGCCACACCCCAGAACAGAGTCTTGGGATGGATGGACATCATTCTCTGTAACACAGAAACCAAGTTTCTAAGCATGAATAAAAAAGACCTCCATGAGTCTGCCACTAACATCTTCACCTTCCACAACTGGTCACGTCACAATTAAGCAAGCTCAAGAGCTCACAGTTGCACTCACTGTACCATGTCATAGGTTTTGGCTTTTCTCATGCAGTTCCCTCTGCTTGGAATGCCCTTCCCCTCTTCAGTAAACCACAGTCCATTCCTTCAAGAACTCATCCCTGCCTTGCTGCCACCTCTGCCCCTCCTTTAACTGGTATCTGTGCGCACAAAAGCCACGTCTCTACAGTGCCTGCCATGCTCTAGCTCTACCAAATCCTCTGTTTGCTTATCTGTGTTACTCATGAGATTGCTAAGAGGTCAAAGGAGTTGTCGTCTGCACTACAAGCACCAGGTATATACAATGTGTTCACTGAACTAAACTAAATATTCTTTAAGTGCCTCAATTTCTACTTAATGCCACTTACAACATTTTCTCCTAGTTTTCAATACAGGTACAAGAGAGAGATTTATAGTAAGTAATATTTTGTGTGCTCAATTTATCAGGAAGATGACAAGCAGCCTATGCCCCGGGTCAGCAGTCTCCCATACCAACTACGCACTCTCAAATGTGATACTTATTGTTCAAAATTGCCATGTAAGTATAAGAGGCATTGTCCTGTTTTTACAGAGAAGGAAACTATGGCTCTGAGAGGATAATAAATTCTCCCAATGTTATATAGCTGGAAAGTAGATGGTCTAATATTGAAATATAATGAAGTCTGAAAATAGTGCTTCTCACAGAAGAAAAAAACACTGGAATTAAACGGAGAAGAAGGGTGATAACAAAAAATAAAGAGATGGTTTTCTAAGTTCTCCTCCAGTCTCAGTTTTCTCTTTTCTCCACATTTCTCAGCTCAGAACAGGTGACACGGGGTAACAGGGTCATTCCCTGGCCATGCTGTTACTGAGAACACCCTGTTAAGGAAAGTTAGGTTAGCGGCTCAATAATCTTAAGCATTAATTAGTTTCATTCCATCTACTAAACTTCTAACCCTTGTGAACTATCTCACAAACACGTGGACAGGAAAACTAGTCCTCCAAGGGGGTAGAGGCTTAGTGTCACCCCATCACCACCAGTACAAAAGCAGGAAAAGTAAGAGAACTTTTACTTACCTTCCTATCGGTGTCTGCACACTTGGGTACATGAAAGATATTTTGAAGAGGCACAAGGCTGAGCTCTGCAAACAGTGCACTGGGGAGTGCCTAACTAGGGAAGTGAAGTATGAAGGTGATTTCATGTGTTCATCCCACAGAATGAGGAGTTCCTTTCCTGAAAAAGGTGAGGTCAAGCTGTGTCTCATAACATATACCCAAGGCTGGGGATATTCTGGTGCAGACTATGGGTTTGAGGACTATGGGCCCAGTGTCTGAGTCCCGGCTGCAAGGTCAGGGGCAAAAGGAGAACAAGTCCACTGCTCCCGCTTTGGCAAGTCCTGCCTGGGGGTGTGGTGTCAAAAATTGCTTGGCCTACTCGGTGGACATAAACCAGCCCCAATAAAGATTGCATCAACTGCTGCACAATGTTTGGAGTTCACCACCCAAAGAACCAAAGAACCAAAAGCACTACAATTCAGGGACACTAGGCAGAGAGCCCAACAACAGCAGCCTTGAAAAAGACAAGGAAGAAAAAATGTAGCAGCAGCTCCTGGGGCATGTGACTGAGACTCTTGGCAGGCTGCCCTGCAGGGCTGTACTGTCTGTGGGCACAGAATCCACATCTTTCTCTCTGATGCCAGAGGCCAAGAAGGCCCAGACAGAGAATACTAACCCAGATCCTTCATTAGGCTAATAATCAATGAGATCTTCCTAAGGAGAACAATGAATGAATAACCACAACTTCATCTGTCGTACACATGCATGTGACTGCTCAGCACTACTCTAACTGAGCTTTGTGACTTCTACAACCTTAAACAGTTCTGTAATACATTAATTGGATATCAAATATGCAACCAATGCAAGGTTTCTCACCTGGTAGACAGACTGCTAAACAAGTTCTGTGGCAAAAACAAAGGACAGAGTTCAGAATGACTCGTCAACCAACATTAACAGGGCATGAACAGAGACAATGGGCCAAGAGCAGCCAATACAAAGATGATTAAAATGTTTTTGAAGATTTAACAGTAGGGCCTCCCCTGGTGGCGCAGTGGTTGAACGCTGGGCTGCCCGCAGCCTTTGCAGCGCTGGTTCTATCCCCAGCCGTTGGCAAGGGTCCCACATGGCATGCAGACCTCTCCTGCCTCGCCCACTGCTCCCCTCAGCAGTTATTTCGTCAGTCTGCCTGTTCTGTTCCCTGCTCTGGCTCTGGTGAATTCTCTCACCCTCCCGCACTTCTGACTATACCCAGTGCTTGTATAAATAAATAAATAAATCTTTAAAAAAAAAAAGAAGTAACAGTAAACTGGGTAAAGGAAAAAAGCAAAGAGAATGCCAATATAATACGGCAGTTGCTGGCAGAGTATGCATATGTAATACACAAAGGTCACCAGGAGAGCTAAAAGACAAAAACAAGAAAATGTCCACTGCCACAAGGACTAAGGGAAGAGTTAAAAACAACACTCTAGAAACAACCAAATCTGAATTTTCGAATAAGGACACATTTTATAAAGCATATGATCTGCCCAGTGTCATGCAATCAATTAGGGCCAAAGCCTCAGCTGGACTCGGATTTTCAAGTGCTTCCCACTATAACAGTATTCCAAAAGCACACAAAATGGGACAATTTTCAGGCTTCCGAAATGGGGCAAATACAGCTTTCAAAAAGAAAATACATATTCTAAGACAACTGATTGATGAACTGAATGGGATACTAGGAGGGATGTGATGGCTGGCTGCCCTCATGAGAGGAGACCAGCATGTGCTAAGTCAGTCACACGAGAAAAAGGAAAAGCATCTCATTTGTCACCGGTAGTCAACATTCTTCTTTAAAGCAACTATTTGTCAAAATATTGCATCAATAACTTTATTTCAAAAAAAGTGGGCAACCAGCTTAGAGTATAAACTTTGAGAAATACTAAGAAAGAGAGTACAGAGATTCTAGCAGACTTCTATGACTTTATAGCTTAAAAGCTTTGGTTTTAGCCAAAATACGATAGAGAACCATTGAACATTTTTTAATAATCAAAAGGATATGTTTAAATTTTCGTTACAGTTATTCTGGCAGCACTGTGGTGGAGATGAAGGGAAACGAAAAGAGATGGAGGGACAGTTAAGAACACACTGGAATAACCTGGGCGGAAAAGAGAACTTGCCTTGTGTCAAGGAAAACAGGCAAGACAAATGGCTCAGGGACAGGTTTTAGAGGTAGGAAAGTATAATACACCTTACTTACCAATTTGATCTTTAGTTAAATAGTTATTAATTTAATTCAATAAGTATAAGGATTAGTGGATTAGATAGATACTGGGGTAAAATGGGGGATTCTAACATGAAAATATCAAAGTTCAACAAATAAAATAAGTGTGCTGCTGAAAGATAGGGAAGGTATCTGGGATCAAATATGAAGTCTTGGAATAACCTAAATAATTATATATATATATATAAATGGAGAAGAGGAATTGGTCAAAACTTGCAGTCAGCACATTTATTATCCACAATCTGCATTCAGAGCAAGTTTTTAGACACTATGGGATAAAAGGGGGAATAAGAATATTCTTTCACTAATAACCCCAGGGCAACTCCAGGGCACCCAGAGACCCTAGAGAAGATCCAGAATTAATTTCTGAATCACATCACAAGTGAGATACTTACTTAATAAGTATCAGAGCGAGACTCATTTTCAATCCAGGGAAATTCTACACATCAGGGAATCTATAAAGGGCAGAGCGGTGGGTGTGCAGGGGAAAGGGAGGGCTAGTGGGGGCAGGGGAGGAAGTGGGGAGTCTTTGACTGGTAGAAATGAACATTTACTGAAATGACTTCAGGGAAAATATGAGTGAACCTGCTCCTCTGGAATCATCCAGTTTCAGGGAAAAGTGTAGTCCTTTCAAGTTCAATGTAAATTCCGTGGAGATCCAGATATCTGCTTCTCCTTAGAATCAAGGTCACAGAATTAATGGGCCCCTGAAAATCATTGACCCTTGAGATAAAGCAACAGGCATGGGGGATGCAGGGCCAGCAAATACCACTTGGCATGGAACGTTTTGAAAAATGTAAGCCTGTTGTTAGATGAAACCAAACAATTCAAGAACATTTATTCCCAGTAGCCACAACTAACACAGGGAAAAACCACTTATATTATTGTTGTGGGACAGGCCCACTGTCCTTGTTATGATGATCTGATTATGCTTCATCAGGCTCTCATAAGTGCCTGCTATGTTTCAGGGAATATGATTTTAGCAGCATATATAACAGACTTTATTTTATGACAACTTCCACTGCATTCTGGTCATAAACTTGGACAAATTGCCTCTTTTGTGTCTCTACAACTGTATCACACAAGTGAATTAGCAACTGACCTGTGACTTTAATTATTTAACAAGTATACATGATTAAATATTAAAAAGTTTAATTTACTTGAAGAATAATAAGCTTTAAATCTAAGATCATCAACTTATACTTCTTTTTATTTTATTTTATAAAAATATAACATTACCTATGTCGTTGCAAAATGACATCAATATAAGATACTGCCCACATATAAGAGAATATAAAATTATCTCCTACACAGTATAGGAAAAGAGACCATGAAACTATCTCCTAGAACAGTAATTGTTATTTTGTTACTAGAAAGTGAACAAAATTCTCAAACCAGTGCCTACCATCTGCAAGACACTACTGGGAGTCAACAGAAAACAAAAAGATCTAATTATCCACAAGGTCTGGAAAAGATAGGGAACAGAATCACTAAATACCAACAGTGTATGGAGGTAAGCAGAGGAGAAGCTCTCCATTCAAAGTCTCCGGGATCCTCTGCAAGTCCCGTACAATGCACCAGCACGGAAAGTGATGAATAAGCTTCATTGATAACAGTCACTACGTCATGGCTGGCTGAACATTCAGTCCACAAACAGAGGGCTTCTTGTATTTGCTCCAATCAACCATAGGAAAGTTTTAGCAAAAGGACTGTTATATTCAAATGGAAATCAGTACTTTCCAGCAAGAATGGACAATTAGCAATTCCTTAAACTGGCACTAAGAGGAAAAGCAGGAAAAGCAGAAACCACCACAGCCTATATTCCAAAATGTGAAATAAACAAAAAAGACTACTATAGTTGTAGCATTTTGAAAAACTCACATAGCAGATGTAGTTGTTATGAATCTTCCAGTTATCATTCCACACTGGTAGATTTCCCTCAAATGTTCCCCCTTGTCACATGTCCTAATACATACAAATTTAAACCTCAGTCTAAGATTCCAGGACATGGTTCATTTAGATGGTGTTCCTTGAACATTTAGTAACAAAGTGAATCTACATTTAAAAAGCCTTTATTCACCAGATTAACAGTTTTAGAAAATTCTCTTCAGTACTGGCAGGACATATAGTCACCCCCATCTCCAAGCACATATGCAATTTGACTTATTGGACCTATGGATCTGACTTTGGAAGTCTGGAGCTGGCACTATAGCAAGTGAACAGGTCCTCAAATAAATCACAATGACCCCATGGCTACCTTGAGAATGAAGAAAAGTTCAAGGGAAAAGGGAGGCTGAAGATATTACACCAGAGTTAAGCAATTATAGACATGACACAAAAGCACAAATAATAAAAGAAAAATGATATATTAACTCGATCAAAATTTAAAATGTACATAGACTGAAACCATCAAAAAAGTGAAAAGACAACTAACAAGACGAAAGTGTTTGCAAATCATGTCTGGGAAGGGATTTGCTTTCAGCATGGACAAAGAAATCTTGAAATTTAATTTAAAAAATCCAATTAAAAGTGGACAAAACATTTAAATAAGATAATTCTCTGAAGAAAATATACAAATGGTTGATAAGCACCTGAAAGATGCTTAACAAATATTAGTTATTAGGAAATGCAAAACTACAATGAGGTATCTCTTCAAACCCACTAGAATGACTACAATAAAAAGACAGTATTGTGTTGGTGAGGACGCAGAGAATTGAAATCTTCATAGGCTACTGGGGAGAATATAAGTGCGGCCAACTTTGGACAATAGTTTGACAGTTAGACAGAGTTACCACAGATTCAGCAATTCCACTCCTGGGTATATAGCAAAGAAAAATGTAGACATATGTCTACACAAAAACTTATACATAAATGTTCATAGTATTAATCATGATAGCCAGAAAGTATCAACAGTCCAAATGTCCATCATCTGATGAATAGATAAATAGAAATTGGCATACCTATATATGTAATATAATCCAAACCTGTTCCCCATGCTGGATTTCAACGTGTCTGTATAGCTACATGGCCCCAGACTTATGCTGGTGCTGGAGTTAGAAAACTGGGGGTCATCTTTGGCAACTACTTCTCCTAGGCCCCACGTTCAGCCAATTACCACCACATGCCACTGTTTCTAATTCAAACCTGTGTTTCATCTGCCCACCACTTCTCTCACTCACCACTGCCACCATTACCTCAATCTTTGATTTCTCCAATCATCCTCCTTGATACATTGCTAGCCATTCTACACACAGTGATGATACTTACAAAGTGGAAAGCCTTTCAGTGGATTCCCTCTGTATTTAAAGTCTTAAGACAGAGAACATGTCTTGTTTTTTTCATCTAGAGATAATCAGTGCCTAAAATGCCTAGTACTTGAAAGAATGAAAAGATGATTAGATCTGGGGCAAGAGGACAAGTTCAGTTTATAGGTCTGTAGGATTTGCCATATCTATGGGACACTGAAGTAGCTTCCCTAATATCAAATGGTAATAAGCCTGACTATATTTGCCTTCACTATTTCAGGACTAACATAAGCAGAGCTATCTATGGTAAACAAGACTAAGACTATTTTAGATAATCATGAACTAAGTTAATAAAGCTTGAAGCAAGCTCAGCTTCTTAAAAAGATTACAGTGCCTCTCTAATCTGAAATTCTGCGTCTCTGGGTCAGGGCTGAGTTAACATTTCAAGGACAACAGAAACCACTGATCTGGTACTAGGTTTGTGGGAGGATCTTCAGAAGAAGCAATTTGGTAGCAAAGCCACCACCTTCAAACTATTCACAACACCTCTGCCCCTCTGCTCCCTGACATCCTTACTAATTTCCAAATGACTTCTCTATTAGTTAATCATAAATTGTTCCTGACTCTTAGACAATACATCTGGGGTGGGGCCCGGAAGTCTGTACTCTGACACCACCACCAGGCAATTAATTGCTCAGTCTGGGTTGTCACTACTAAGTCAACAGTTTAAGAAACAAAAGTTATCTCAACACCTTTAGGATGTGGCTACTCTAAGGATTTTCAGATACTAACGCTTAAGTTATGATTCACTGTGGGCTCTGATGGTACCATGCAGAGTTTTAACATAAAGTACTGTGCACAACAAGTAAACTGAGAGTTTCTAATAAGAATTTTTTTTCCAAATATAAAAGTAGGAAACACTGATTATAGCCACCAATGTCCTTATCCCTCCCCTTAATTGTACCAATATCATTATCTATCTATATATATATATATATATATATATCTATTTAGATACATATCTAGATATATACATAGGACCACTGGTTAAACAGAAAAAAACATAAGAATTATTGAAATATAAGTCCATAAAGAACACACACATTAAAGCCTATAAATTCAAGATGATTTTTACCAGCTCAATATATTGCTTTATCTGATTAAATTTCTTATAATTTCTTAAAATTTCAGTCTGCACTTTAATCTATATTCATTCCTAAAAGTGTATTTATTATTTCAAAGGTCAAAGTGTCTTGTTCATTTTATGTAATTAATTTAAAGTAAATTAAGCAATCTTATTAGATATGCAAAGTAATATATGTACAAATTTATACATTTTGTACAAATTTATAGCTGTTTATAATAGTAAAAGATGGGAATTCTCTAAATTTTCATCAATCTGGAGACAAGTTATGGGGCATCAATACAAGGAATAAAGAAATACACAGGTATAGTATGATACTATTTCTGTTGGAAATGCAAGTTGGCTGAGGAACATATAAATGTATCTGATTGTATATGATTAAAATAACTCCAGAAATATACTTTTTTTTTTAACTAAAAATAACTGTTTCCTGTGGAGGAGACAAATTGGGGGATTTGGACCAAGGACAACTCTTCAATAAGCATTCTTCTAATATTATTTTTGAAATTTGAGCCATGCGAATATATTACCTATTCCAACATAGAAATGTTTAAAGTAAATGACATTTCTTTTTTTTTTTTTAAAGATTTATTTATTTATTTATTTATTTATTTATACAAGCACTGGGTACAGCCAGAAGCGCGGGAGGGTAAGAGAATTCACCAGAGCCAGAGCGGGGAGCAGAGCAGGCAGAAGGACTGAAGTACACTGCACTGCTGAGGGGAGCAGCAGGAGGCAGGAGAGGTCTGCGCGCCATGTGGGACCCTCCTCCAGTGGCCGGGGATCGAACCGGTGCTGCAGAGGCTGCGGGCAGCTTCGCAACCCAGCACTCAACCGCTGTGCCACCGGGGAGGCCCGTAAATGACATTTCTAAAAAATAAACAATATATAAGGTTCTCTTAAAAGAAATGAGTGCTTTTGAAAATATATTATTCAGTAACTAGACTACACATAATCTCATAAATAAAACTTTTATAAAGGAACTGCCAAGATTAATGTCTGTTATTTTAAAACTGCTCAATATGTGCCTCTGCAATCACATGGGTCCTAGCAAGTTAGAGCTGCTTTCATCTCAAACCTGTTCTATGCTCCAGCAATGGTTGAAATAGCAGCTACAGTGGGTTTCTTCATTTTCTCAAGGTACAAGGAGTAGATAGTAAAAAGATGAACTATTTAAAATCTCCAAAAGAAGTGACTTCAAAACAAAAAAGTTTTGAAAATATTCACTTTTTTCTAATCACACCACATCATTTGTTAAATGAAAAAATTCAAAATGCCTCATTCATAATGTAACATTAAATCATATTTTAAATATAAAAATTACAACACAGTGCTTAATAGAATATCCACTTAAAATCAATTGTCTTTTAATTACATTATCTTCTATAAGCCCAAATTACAGGGTTTTTTCAAAATTTATTTATAAGGAGCTTTTTGAGAAATATGGTCTCAAGTCAAAAAAAGGGGAAGCACGAAGCAAGGTACAGAGCAACTGATACCCAGAGTTGTTGGGAAACAAAAATCACCAATTTTAAAACCGTAAAATAAAACAAACTGAAAAGGTTAACTTTCAATCTACTATCAAAATTCAAATGGGTATCCCCATCATTCACCTCTCACTGAGCTCCTAGCTGACTGACCCTTCCAAAGATTCTCTTTTCTTAAACTCCTTCTCCTGTCCTTCCAACTCTTGGCAAAAGTTCACTTTTTATTTTTACTGGAATGGAAGGAATTCTCTACCATACCAAAGTGGACATTCTTTTGCTCAGCCTTTCATCTTTTTGTGCCCATCCCATAGGTAGCAGGGTAACTCCTTTCTTGCATCTCTCAAACTCCACCAAGATCTTATTTGACCCATTATCCAAATCAACATTTCAAACGCTCCCTTTTCTTTGGCCCCTTCTTTTATGCCTTCAAAAACCCAAAGCTCTTTTGCTATTTTTAAAAATTTCTCTTAAACCCGCTGCCTACAACTATTGTCATATTCCTCTCCTTTTTCTAGCTACGCTGCCCAAATATGAAATCTACATTCAAAGCCTCCTCCTCTTTTCTCAGGAAATACGTATTTCAGTTTCAAATCCTCTACTGAAATAACCTTATCAAATTTCCAGATGGCCCTTCTAATCACTGAATCAAAGTGAAAGGGATCTGCAATTTCAATCTATTCCATTTAGATTACTATAATAATAGGCAGTTGGGATGCTTGAGAGCTTAAGTTGACCAATATTATACAGTGAATCAATGTGGACTGGGATCTCCACAACCTTCTGCCCAGAAGAAGACATATTATAGTCCTTGTTTTTTTTTTTTTTAGGCATCTCCACAAAAGAAAAATGAAAGCCACATTTGCACCTGAAATGAAGGTCAATACAAATATAACAACAGATAATCCAAACCCCATTTCAAATGGTTTTGGAATGTGGCCTTGAATGTTAGGAATTCCTAAACACATAGACCAAACAACAAAGTTCCACTGAGAAATCTTTTCAGGGAAGTTAACTTTTTTCTTCCTTTTCTCTGGCCTTCCCTCTGCACATGCACTTGTCTGCAATACACAGTCCGAATCTGAGTGTTGACAGAGCCTGCATAGAAGCTGAAGTAGTCAGAGTTAGAAAGAAAAACAGGAAAACAAGACGCAGGAGGAGGAGAAGGCAATTAACCATGTCGAATGATAACTGTGCACACACATGCTTTGCCCCACAGACCTCTTTTCAGACATTTTTGGTCATTATAAATAAATCCTCAAAACTTTGCTGAATTAGGACTTACTCTCTTTTACAAGAAAACATGCCCATGTGTATGTATCTGAGTATGAGGCTCATACATTCCTTGATCCACTTGAGTTCAGTCTCTACAGCTACAGTTGTAGAAACCAAAATTTGAAATTCTACTACCCAAACTTTCTCCTGATTGAATACCTTCTTCCACATAACTACCAAAGAGAGAGAGAGAGAGAGAGCAAGAACTTTAAATGAATTGTGAAGAGTGAATAAGAAATGAGCAGATGAAAACATTATTTTGTTTATATTCTGTCTCTGCAAGTATTTTAACTGCCAAAAAATTGAGAGGTTTCATAAACATTTTTGCCTCACTTTTTACTGTTTTGTCTATTTTCAGCTACCCCACAACTGAGGAAGGAAGGCAAAGTACTACCAGCGCACTGGCTTCTACCTTGAAACATACACCACCTAGATTCCAAATTAAAAAAAAAATTTAAAAAGTAAAATTTTTTAGTGCCTAGGAAACACAAAATACTATTTCTCTATAATTTTTAATATTAATTTAATAAAATTGTTAGGGGGAAAAGGTTTGATTGTCAACATTGTGCTACTGAACTAAGCCGGTGCCTTCATAGAGATTGAATATTGTTGTTTCTGTTAATTTTCTGATATCTATGGCAAAGCTTCCCAGAAATCTAAATTCAAGTACAAATTTGGTGGCCTGTCATTTGACTGATGCAAGGAAATTTTGTGGAACCTCAGTAGAGCTCCTGAGACACTCCACGAAGTTTCTCCTTTTCCTCCTGGGAAAGCATTACATGAATTTGTTCTATTTGGCTTTTACCTAATGAAGTAAAACTGGAAGGGAAACATTGTCACTTGGGAAAATGGTAAAACTTTGGTATGTACAAAATGTTAACAGTAGTATCTGGTATGTGTGTAAATTGTCAATGGTGATTGTCACCTTGTAATATTGTATAATTCAATTGTTTCACACCTACAGAAATTGTTTTCGGAAATATAGGGACAAAAGGTCTCAACAGATTCCTATTGATGGAACTGTTGAGAGTAAAACTTTCTTACAAAGGACTCAATAGACCTGTAAATACACCTGACATTTACTAAGGTTTCTTTGACATAATACTGGAACTTTTTTTTTTATGCATTCTGTCCTGAATCCACGAAATTTTTGTTTTGTTTTGTTTTGTTTTGACTAACCAGGATCTGCAGAAAGGTTGTAATTTTTTTCCAGCAAAGCTAACTTGTCACATTTTCTCTCCCCTTGATACCAACACAACATACAAATAGTGGTAGTAATTTTTGCTACTTATTTCAGAGTCTGTTTTTGCATAACTTCCATAGGGATTTTGTCTGTTTTAACGAAAATTGGACGTGAGTTTGATTGTGTGGCTTTGTGTGGAGTTCTTCCAGAAAGTTGAAAAAGAGCTGAACCAAGAAGAGGAGAACCTGTTTGCCTTGTTTATAGGGTTCCAGAGACCTCCAAAGAAGGTGAGGAAGCTTGCCTCCATTGGCAGGACTGGACAACCCGGCCAACGAAAATGCCCTGGTACCCTCGAGAAGAGGAAAGCCCAGGTGGAGTCTGATGAGACCAACTTTATACCTGAAGCCTGCATCGACCAGATGCCAACGGTTCGCTCTGATCCTGTATGGAATATTTCAACAAAGCCAGCTAAAATTGCTGTTAGTTATTTCTACTCTGTGATTTTATGCAAAAATAGAAAAATGGTTTAAAAGTAGATCTAGTTTGCAAACTTTTGCTTTGCTGTTAAAAGTTTGGGATCAAGGTTGAGAAAATTTGTGTTTTTACATCAGTTGAACCATTTTAAGATTTTTTTTTTCCTGAAATTTTTACATATCTGCTGACTTGTTTTGGCTAACGCCTCCAGATTTTTTTTTGGCTTAAACTGATGAACTATTTTTTCCTGGAGTGGAGGACTTTTGCTTTCCACAATGGACAAATACCTGGAGAGACTGGTTTTCTTTCACACTGGAACCTGACAAAACGTTCATCTGAGACTGCATCCCAACCTCCATATATTTGATCTTCATCACCATGGAAATGGTGGCAAAAAGTGAAAGGGGGGAATTGTTAGGGGGAAAAGGCAGTCCCAAAGCAAATTCCATACAGGCTTTGTGGACTCCACCCCCACCCCAGGTCAAAGCCAAAGACACTGGGAACTCCAAATCCCATCACCACCAAAGGGAAGGTGGCTGGGACCTGAGGGTGGGGTTAAGCAGCCAGGTGGATACAAAAGGCAGACACGTGGGCTTTGGGGGCTCTCTCCATTTTGGGGCCCTCGGCCAGCTCGCGGCGTCCGTCTAGCTCTGAGAGTGACTTTGGGGTTTCCAGGTCGTCGGATCGGGTAGGACGCATTAAAGACTTTATTTCCCTATTTTCTCCCTGAGTTGTACATTTTCCTTATTTCCTTTTCTCTTGTAAATAAACCTTTTATTAACCCTTTTGCGTGTGTCTGTAGTAGAGTATTCATAAGTCCCTTTAAAGCGCGCGGGTGAGGACCCACAGCCAGGAACCCGTTTAATATCGGGGTTGCTCTATAACAAAATGAGCAGGCAGAATGAGAAGAGGAGGTAGAGTAATAAGGAGGAAGGGGGAAGGAAGGAAGGAGGAGTGACAAATGGAGGGAAAGTAGAGATAGTCATAAAAAGAAGCACCATTTTCTAGGCCCTGCTATTTTGTGTGGTGTAGTTTATTTCCCTTTCCTTTGAACTCCTATTTCAGAGTCAGCTGGACTGGGAGCCGGGACATCCCCCTCCAGAGTGTACCCAAGAATACAGCTGTCTCTGGAAAAGGACTATACATAAGGTCATAGAGATTCACCTGGGATTCCCCAGCAGTCTCGTTTAAGAGGAATAAGGAAAATAAATTACGTGAAAGAGAAAGGCAAAAAAGATAGGAGTCGTACCCACACTCAAGAGTGGTAGCCAAAAACAGGTTATCTATTCACTTTAAGTAAATATAATGGTTTTTTTGTTTGCTTTTCTAGATTTATTTATTTATGCATACAAAAGCTGGGGTACAGGCCAGAGGTGTGGGGGGGAGGTGGTGAGAAGATTTACCAGAAACAGAGTGGGGAACAGAACTGGCAGACTGAAACAAACTGCTGAGGGGAACAGCGGGTGAGTCAGAAGAGGTCTGCTGCGCTATGTGGGCTGCTCCCTGGCCAGCAGGGGATGGAACTCATGCTGCAAAGGCTGCGGACAGCTTCCATAGGTTGTGTCTTAACCCCTTGCACCACCGGGGAGGCCCTAAGTAAATATAATGTTAAAGTCAAAGAATCATACTAGTTAAACATGAACTAAGAAGTCATTTACTCCAACCTTTATAATTAGAAGTTACTGAGATAAAGTTAGTTGGAAAAAAATTATTGCAAGTTCTACTTCTGGTGTGGAAGAGGGAGCTCCTAACAAACTAATCCTTCCACAAATAATGACTAAAAATCTGGACAACATATAAAAAACAACTGCCTGATAGCTCTGGCAAGAGAACAGAAGTCAACATGTTTGGAAGACTTGGAAGATGAGATTGGCATGAGGTGAGGTTCAAAATTGCGACTTTGCCCTAAAAACAGGCACAATCAGAGTGGTGGTATGAAGCAACCAAACTTCCAAACTTCCATTTTTAAAGAGTTACCCTCAAAATGACCACAAGAACCAGAGAAAAGAGTTTAAGGAAACCAGAGAGGAAAATGCTGACATTTGTGTAAAATTTCTGCCCAAGTCTCTCATGGATCCTTGAAGCACGTATCCATGGTCCAGAGCAAAATGAATCTGTGATATGAGCCACTACCCACTATGGTCATGCAGTGCAGAGACTAAAAATCTAATAGAAAAATTTGCCATCTTTCTGACAGAAGAAACAAGGGCCCAAGGCAACATAGGACACCAAAGAATGAGGGAGAGATCCTACAAAAAAGTGCAGCAGAGAACTCAAAATTTTATATAAATAACGCCCACATTTCTGACTGGCCCTTCAACCACGTAAGTACATGACAGGTATAAGGCAGCCTAAGATGAGAGGTGGCAGGAAAGTTAGCAGTTTGAGCCTGACCAAATAAAATGCTTCCGTACAAAAGGAGAAAGTCAACATACTTCAGGAAAAAAGAACAGACACCGTCTCTACAAGGCAACATTCATGACGGCAAAATGTAATCTGAAATTACTCCACATAAAAAAACCTATGAAAATTTGATCCATTCTAAAGAAAAGGATAAGCAACAAATGGTAACCTCAGTATGAAGCAAAGAATGAAATTATCAAAGATTTTAAGATAGACACACATATATGCATATATATATATATACACTTATATGTATATATATGTAATAATTTTGTTCAACACAGGAAAAGGACATATACTCATAAGGAATGAAAAGATAGGGAATCTCAGTTAAAAAGAGAAATTATTTTTAAAAAGAACAAGAGGAACATTTAGAACTGAAAAAAAATATGAAATTTTAAAATTCACTAATACACTTAAATGCATGGTAAGAAGGGAATCAATGAACTTGAGGATAGAACAAATAATAGAAATTATCCTAACTGAAGGAGATAGATTTTAAAAACATAAACAGAATCTAAGGGATTTGTGTGCCAATTTCAAAATGTTAACATATTGAAATTATATTCCAAAAAAAATGAAATGAACAAATGAGACAGAGAAAAATATCTGAAGAAATAATGACCACAAACTCCCAAAATCTGATGAATGGCATAAGTACACAAATTCAAGAAGTTCAGCAAAACCCAACTAAGATAAATTCAAGGAAAATTATACCTAGGACTCCATAGCAAAAATGCTAAAAAGAAACTAAGAGAAAAATCTTAAGAGCAGTCAGAGAAAAGGAAACATTACATACACAGGAGAAATGACTCCCATGACTGCAGACTCTCTGCAGTCACAGACCTCCTTTAAACAATCTCTTTAAAGGAATGGGAAGAAAACTGCCAACCTAGAAATACTATATTCAGCATATAGGAATTTTCAGATATAGGATATAGGAATACTAGAAAATTTGTCATGAGCAACCTTGTAAAATAAGAAATGCCAGAGTCGGCCTCCCTGGTGGCGCAGTGGTTGAGCGCTGGGTTGCGAAGCTGCCCGCAGCCTCTGCAGCGCCAGTTCGATCCCCAGCCACAGGTCCCACATCGTGCGCAGTATGACCGCAGACCTCTCCAGCCGCCCGCTGCTCCCCTCAGCAGTGTATTTCGTCAATCTGCCTGCTCTGCTCTCTGCTCTGGCTCTAGTGAATTCTCTCACCCTCCCACACTTCTGACTATACCCAGTGCTTGTATAAATAAATAAATAAATCTTAAAAAAAAAAAAAAAAGAAAGAAATGCCAGAGGAAGTTCTACAGGCTGAAGAGAAATGGTGCCAAAGGAAAACCTGAAGCTTCATGAATGCATGAAAAGTATCAGAAATAGTTACTATCTGGGTAAATATTAAATAATTTCTTCTTTGTAATTTCTTTAAAA